CTACCCAAGGATGCTCCCACATAAGTTTCAGCATTTATAGTCCAGTTGCTCTTGAGAAGAAGATTTTTAGAGTTTTTTCCCTAAATACTTCAATGTAAAACTTGGATTCCCTATTGTGTTCCCGCTCTACCCCAGGGGGTGATGATTTGAACATTATAAAATCTAATTACCTCAGGATGCTTCCACATAAGTTTCAGCTTTTCTGTTCACCCTCATCCCTTTTCTTGATTATCCCCCCTTGGAAGGTGACTTGGTCCTTCATTTTCACAATTTATACTCCTCCTCACCCAATGATTCTTTGTGCTAAGTTTGGTCAAAATTGGCCGAGTAGTTCTTGAGAAAAAGTTGAAAATGTGAAAAGTTTACATACAGACGGTTGGACAGATGGACGGACAGGCGGACAACCGACAAAAGGTGATCAGAAAAGTTCACTTGAGCTTTCAGCTTAGGTGAGCTTAAAAAGAACAAAAGATAGAATACAATCATTTATTTCTTCCAAAATCAAGGGGATTGGGTCTTTAAACCCTCTGAATCAGCCATTGCATCTGATGTGAACTACACACTATTTCCTGTATTCAGAAATTTAAGAAATTTTCACAGAATAAAGAATACAATATCACTAAGTGATAGTATCAGTAAAATTAAATTTGACCGTTTTATATAAGCGACAAGGTCAGGTCAAGGTCATTACCTTTTTCCTGGATATTAATAATTTAAAACATTGCTGTGATGTCAACCCTTTGTTCTTGCAGTTTAAAAATTTACCTATGGCAGTCCGATATTAGTGAGCAGTCTGATATTAATTGTAATATCAGACTGTCTCAGTACTGATATCCTTCAAAATTGGACTGCTACTGAACAAAAGAAATAAAAAGTGTGATGATTTAACAAACAGAAATTTAAATTTCTCACATAGAATGATGATTTAGAGACATTGATCTTACAGAATTGCAAAATAAAACAAGAGGCCCATGGGCCACATCGCTCACCTGAGAAGCTTTGACCATTCTGTTCTTTACCAGATTTCCCCCTTGTAATACATAATGCATCCCCACTCGACCCCACTGATCATAATTTAGACATTTTGAAATCTAAACTACCCCATGATCCTTCCATGTGCACATAAGTTTCAGCTTTTCTGGCCCAGTGGTTCTTGAGAAGAAGATTTTCAAAGATTTTTCCTATATATTTCTATGTAAAACTTGGATTCCCCATTGTGGCCCCGCCCTTCCCCCGGGGGTCATGATTTGAACAATTTAGAATCTACACTATACCAGGATGCTTCCACATAAGTTTCAGCTTTTCTGGCCCAGTGATTCTTGGGAAGATTTTCCAAGATTTTTCCTATATATTTCTATGTAATACTTGGATTCCCCATTGTGGCCCCGCCCTTCCTCCGTGGGTCATAATTTGAACAATTTAGAATCTACACTATACCAGGATGCTTCCACATAATTTTCACCTTTTCTGGCCCAGTGGTTCTGGAGAAGAAGATTTTCAAAGATTTTTCCTATATATCTCTATGTAAATTTTTGATTCCCCAGTGTGGCCCCGCCCCTCCCCCGGGGGTCATGATTTGAACAATTTAGAATCTACACTACCCCATGATCCTTCCACATAAGTTTCAGCTTTTCTAGCCCAGTGTTTCTTGAGAAGAATATTTTCAAAGATTTTTCCTATATATTTCTATGTAAAACTTGGATTCCCCTTTGTGGCCCCGCCCTTCCCCCGGGGGTCATAATTTGAACAATTTAGAATCTACACTACCCTAGGATGCTTCCATCTAAGTTTCAGCTTTTCTGACCCAGTGGTTCTGGAGAAGAAGATTTTCAAAGATTTTTCCTATATATTTCTATGTAAAACTTGGATTCCCCTTTGTGGCCCCGCCCTTCCCACGGGGGTCATGATTTGAACAATTTAGAATCTACACTACCCCAGGATGCTTCCACATAAGTTTCAGCTTTTCTAGCCCAGTGGTTCTGGAGAAGAAGATTTTCAAAGATTTTTCCTATATATTTCTATGTAAAACTTGGATTCCCCATTGTGGCCCCGCCCCTCCCCCGGGGGTCATGATTTGAACAATTTAGAATCTACACTATACCAGGATGCTTCCACATAAGTTTCAGCTTTTCTGGCCCAGTGATTCTTGGGAAGATTTTCAAAGATTTTTCCTATATATTTCTATGTAAAACTTGGATTCCCCATTGTGGCCCCGCCCTTCCTCCATGGGTCATAATTTGAACAATTTAGAATCTACACTATACCAGGATGCTTCCACATAATTTTCAGCTTTTCTGACCCAGTGGTTCTGGAGAAGAAGATTTTCAAAGATTTTTCCTATATATTTCTATGTAAATTTTTGATTCCCCAGTGTGGCCCCGCCCCTCCCCCGGGGGTCATGATTTGAACAATTTAGAATCTACACTACCCCATGATCCTTCCACATAAGTTTCAGCTTTTCTAGCCCAGTGTTTCTTGAGAAGAATATTTTCAAAGATTTTTCCTATATATTTCTATGTAAAACTTGGATTCCCCTTTGTGGCCCCGCCCTTCCCCCGGGGGTCATAATTTGAACAATTTAGAATCTACACTACCCTAGGATGCTTCCACCTAAGTTTCAGCTTTTCTGACCCAGTGGTTCTGGAGAAGAAGATTTTCAAAGATTTTTCCTATATATTTCTATGTAAAACTTGGATTCCCCTTTGTGGCCCCGCCCTTCCCATGGGGGTCATGATTTGAACAATTTAGAATCTACACTACCCCAGGATGCTTCCACATAAGTTTCAGCTTTTCTAGCCCAGTGGTTCTGGAGAAGAAGATTTTCAAAGATTTTTCCTATATATTTCTATGTAAAACTTGGATTCCCCATTGTGGCCCCGCCCTTCATCCGGGGGTCATGATTTGAACAATTTAGAATCTACCCTAGGATGCTTCCACATAAGTTTCAGCTTTTCTGGCCCAGTGGTTTTGGAGAAGAAGATTTTTTAATGACCCCACCCTATTTTTGTCTTTTCTTGATCATCTCCCCTTGTGAGGGGACTTGGCCCTTTATTTTAACAATTTAAATTCCCCTTCACCCAAGGATGCTTTGTACCAAGTTTGGTCAAAATTGGCCCAGTGGTTCTTGAGAAGAAGTCTAAAATGTGAAAAGTTTACAGACGGACAGACAGACAGATGGACAGACGGACGGACGATGGACAAAATGTGATCAGAAAAGCTCACTTGAGCCTTCGGCTCAGGTGAGCTAAAAAAATTAAACTTTCAATTACACTGAATATACTGTAACAGGATGAAGAACAAGGGGCAGACCAGATAATGCAAATACAAACAAACAAAAAAAAAAAAAAACAACAAAAAACGGGTAAACTTCTAATAAACCTATTACAATTGGGGAAGTGTTTCAACCCCTTTTTCCGGTTTTTGAAAAAGAGTGGGCACACTGGGGGTCACCAGAGAAGCGCATAAACTTTCAAAGCCCCAAAAATAAATTCATAATAAAACACAAAGTTTAGACAATTTGATTTCATTTTTCTCATAGAAAGAAAGATGCCTAGATGCAAAAATCAAGGGAAGTAGCCTAGTATATAATAATTAATACCTAATTGACAACAAATTTTGAAAGATTTGAAGATTTTCAACACTTCCCTAAAAAATCCTAGATTACTGTTTATGTTTGTTCTTCTGTAATGGAAAATCAAAAACAAAGGTATACGTAGACGCTTAACATAAAAAAATGAAATGGAAGTGTACCTTTAGCATCTGCTTAATTTTCAGTGGATATTCTTCATATCGGCATTTCATTCCCAATTCGTCATTCACTAGATTGTCTGTATGATAATTCGTTGCACTGCTTTAATCTCCGTGTATGTTTTAATGAATAAAAATTTTGTCCCCACTCTCCTTATCAAATTCTTTCAAATACCTTTTTCAGTGTAGCCAAATCCATAAATACTGAGTACTTTTCATTTAAGCAGCCTGCATTCTTGAAAGAATTGCTTCAGTGGTCATTAACACCTTTGTCTTTTTGTTCTAATATCAGACTGTCTCAGGTAAATCAAAAGCAATGTTTTAAGTACGATATATGCCTCATACAATTCTGTATTAAAAAATATCAGACAGTTTTCGGCCCTACCGGGCCTCAAACTGTCTGATATTTTTTAATACAGAACTGTATTCGGCATATATCCAATACATAAAATTACTCTTGCCAATTGTGCGATCCCTACTTTTATTGCAAAATGTTGAATGTTTTTTTTGCATAAAAAGATACTACCATAAAGGGCCTATAAGATGATACATGTATTACCAAATTGACATAAATAATTTAACCAAAATGGATATTGGCTTTTTCTTAAATTTTTAGGATATATTAGTTATTTTTATATGCTTCCTATATTTAAATTTTTTTCATTTTCACATATGGTAAATTTGTCACATAAAGATACAAAATGATACAAAAACAAAAAGTTTTGATCGTTTACTAAGAGAGATAAAAAAAACTTTATGGATTTTTGGCTCAAAATTGTACTCAGATTGGAGGCTTATAGAAGCTAACATAGTTCTAGTTTGTTTGAAAAATCATATTTAATTGATATATCTAGGAACTTTAGCCCCTTATTAATTAAACTTACATTTGAAAAGTTCTTCAAGTCTTTCATTGTGTAAAAATTATAACTAATTTCATTGTTCTACAATAATTTTGAGAGGGAGAAAAAGAAGATATTTTCATATGCCACAATTCCACCAAAAAATATAGTCCCTGCTAGTTTTCAAATGCGGCTTACCATTTCTATTTAAAGTTGTACAATTGTGATGGGGAAAGAAAAATATGGTCTTTTAAATCTTTTACGACTAAATATAGAAAACATATATGCAAATGTACTTTGAATATTTCATCTTTAAGTCAGAAACCAGAGAATAATTCTATCTTAAGATCAATTAATAATTTTATATACAATTACACTTTTATGTACTTCAAATATTTAAAAAATTAGTTTTACCTGACTGAAAGAACTGCTTTTCACACTGGATACACTTGTATGCTCTTTCCTTTGAATGAAATCTCATGTGAACCACCAAATCACTTTTCCTTATATAGCCTAAAAAAAGTTCATTGCTCCTATGGTCATCTGAGATTAACAATGCAAGACTTTTTAGCAAGTGTTTTTACTTTTTATTACACATATATGCCTTAAATGCCCTGTTCACACGACGAGTTTAATTTGCAGTAATTTAATGCGAAGTAAACTAATGCGAATCAAATTAATGCGAATTAAATTGCGTTCACACGACAGCTAATGCGAAGTAAAAAAATGCGAATTAAATTTTTACTTCTGCAGCCTGGCGTCAGCACGGCTATAATGACGTCATTTGCAAATCACGTCACCTTCTGCAGAAGCAGATCCAATTGACATAATGTAACAGTGCCTGTACAAACATTTTAATGATTATCAAAGTTTTCCTTAGTTTTTCACTCAAAAATAGCACAAGTGCCTATAGCTGATCATCGACAAGTGGTATTTGACTAAATTTTGTCATTACGCATGTCTCAGAATTTAATTTGAATTAGCTCCGCTTAGCGTTCACACGCAGCTAATGCGAAGTAATTTAATGCGCAGTAAACTAATTCGAATTAAATTAATTCGCATTAAATTCTCCGTGTGAACGCTAAGCGAAGCTAATTCGCAGTAATTTTACATTTAATTCGAATTAAACTCTCCATGTGAACAAGGCATAAAAAACAAATGTTTACAGGTTATGATAAACATGCACTTATTGCCTTGGCAATATGAGGTCTTTCTATTCCTTGACTCATATGAAAATCAAAAGTCTGAAAGGCTTTAATTACGTCAAACATAAAAAAACAATTTTGGAAAGTTTTTTTTTGATTTGATATAATTTCTTGTTAACTTTTAACAAAATGTCACAATTACAGGTTTGGGTCCTTTTGCCATAGTTCGAATTATCTAGACACCGTCGAAAGTAAACCTTAGAATTTAACTCATATCTCTTCAATCACTTGAAAAACAATGAAGGATTTAAAATAAGAGGCCCATGGGCCACATTGCTCACCTGAGCACTGTGGCTAGGAAAAAAGCAGAAATCAGTTTATTATTGAAAAGTTTAAACCCATAAGTGGTTCCAACAAATTCTTAAAGGGGAGAGGGTATGATCTGAACAAACTTGAATATACACTAAGGATGCTTGCATATTTCTTTGATTATCTGTGGCTTTATCAGGGTTCGACACTAACTTTTTTACCTTGGTGGACCGCAGGTCCACTTGTCAAAAATTATTGGTGGACCTTCTTAATATCTGGTGGACCTTTATAAATGATTGAATAAATGAATGAAACATTACACGAGGCATTAATTAACACTAACCAGGCGCGTAGCTGCCTATACGCAAGTACGCAAGTGCGTACACATCATTTTCAAAAAAAAAAAAAAAAGAAAAGAAAAAAAAGAAAGAAAGAAAGAAAAAAGAATAAAAAAGAAAGAGAGAGACTTATTCGGAGAAAAAGAGCCACTATCTGTCTTTCAAATTATTTTACCTCTTATTGTTTCTATTCAAATTTTGTTCAGAATATTGTTAAAATCCAGTATTTTAAAAAATGAATTCCAAAATTCTTGAGGAAGAAAATATTGTTGAACCAAAATTTTCAACGCTTAATCCGCGTAATCCTGATTATCCGGACAAATACATGTATTTGATGAGGGAAAGCGATCTAAGTGACATTGATCTAAAAAAAAAAAAGGTACAACGATCTTGGACGACTACTGTATTGGGGATTAATTTCACGGGTTGTAATCTTCACGGTTTTCTCTCATCGGACACGATCGCGATTTCTTGAATTCGCGGAATTCTTATATTATAGAAGTTACTTCCCTTATCTATATCCGTTTAATCCATACCGTAGCTACATTTAAACGGCATTCATCATTGTTATGTTTTTATTTCACGAACGACAGGTTAGGTTAATATAAAATAGTTAGACTTAATAAATAATTGACGACTAATTTATATACCCAAAAAAATGGCAAAATTCAAATCACTGAACAAAGTAAATAAAAATATATATCATTTATGAATATCTTCTTTTACTGATATTACCAATTTATAGAATTTAAGTACTCTCACATTGTTTAAGCTATCAGAATATAAAGGTTATCAAAAGACCCACACCCCCGTTTATATTTTGAAATACTTTAACTCCAATGATAACTTATTTAATTACTTCTCTGTTTTATCTTGTCACACTTGGAAACTTTTTTCCAATACCAATATATTCGTTAACTAATTTGATCAAATTACCCTTCTCTTCCTGAAGTATGGAAGTATATAACTTAGCTAAGTGTTTGCTTGATAAAAGAGATGTAGCGTGATTTCTTTTAAAGGAAAATGACTGCAAAATTTCGTAAAATCCAGGAGCTTCCGGGGGCTTCGCCCCCTGGCCCCCCACCAGGGCTTCGCCCCAGACCCCCGGCCATTTTCTGCATACACTTCATTTCATTGCTGACTACGCGCCTGCTAACTTTAATATATACCGATACCAGACAGACCAATAAAGCATAAATCTAACCAGTCAACAGAATCAAATCAATATTAAGGACTAGTCAGATTTTTTTTCAGAAATATTGTAAAAAATTTAAAAAAAAATATTAATCTATAAACCATAGAAATATTCTAATAATTATCATTAAATTACAATGGTGAAAACCTGCATTTATTTCGCTTCCACAGGTAAATTAAATTTAAAACTCCAATTACCGGTATTAATTAATTTGTTCAATAATTAAACAAGTGAATTTTTCATGTATCCATGGCTAGATCATTTTTTTTACTATGGTGCAAAACTGACATAGGTACATGTATCTGTATTAATTAATCATTTTTTAAATTTATTATTTATTCAAATAAGTAGTGATATAATATGTATATAAAGAAAAGAAAATGAAACTGCAGATAATAGTTCATTTAATGTAAATTACGCTTGTTTAAACATCTATTTAAAAAAACAATGCTTAAGTGCAGCTGTCAATCAATTCTAATTATCTCCAAAAGTGTGCGTTCAGGCGTGAAGCGATTTCCTGTTACCCAATGTAATTTTCACACCTTTCTGTGCATTAGTAAACAGAGGAGAGACTGGCTAAATTTGGCATGGATTTTTCATGATTATTCAAGGTCCGTGTTGAATGTTCTTGCATCTCAATATTATTGTTAATATTGGAGTTATCAAGTTTACATGTGAAATATATCGAGTTATTTGCCCCCCCCCCCCCCACCCCCCATTACCTAAACATTTTTTACATGTATATTTAATTTTTGTATATTAAAAGTATGGAGGAATTAATAATTTGAGTTACGGATTTTGATTTAAAGAAAAAGAAACCCTGGAATTTCACTGTCTTTAAATAAGGTGTTTAAATTTTAAGTGGACCAATGGTCCACCTAGTCCTGAACATTTGGTGGACCTTCCAATTTTTTGGTGGACTCGGGCCGCCGGTCTACCATTAGTGTAAAACCCTGTTTATTGCCCTTTACATTTGAACTTACATTGTGCCCCCCCCCCCCCCAATCGAGGATGGCTTTGTTTTCCTTGAAATATTTTTCCTGTATATTCCTAAGCAAAACTTTGATCAGCCATAGTGGCCTTGCCCTATCCCCGGGGGCATGATTTGAAAAAAACTTGAATCTACATTACCTGAGAATGCTTCCATACAAATTTAATCAATCATGGCTTTGCTATTCTTGAGAAGAAAATTTTTAAAGAATTTTCAAATATATTTCTATGTAAAACTTTGATCAGCCATTGTGGCCCCGCCCTACCTCCAAGGGGTCATGATCTGAATAAAATTGAATCTACACTACCTGAGGATGCTTCCATATAAATATGATCAATCATATGGAAAGTTAACTGGTTCAAAATTCCAACTCTGTAATTCTTAAAATGTAAACAAGTCCACCTTAATTTGTAAATTGTAAATCATAATTTGTCAAATGTTCTATCGCAATTTGTTAATTGTAACTATCCAACGTAATTTGACAAGTGTAAAATTTAAATGCAAGTTTTGCCAATGCTCTCATGTAATTCATAGACTTGCAATTTGTCAACTTGTGCAATGTAAATTGCATTTTCGTGATTAGTAAATTATGCAAGGTTACATTATGCTAATGCCTATTTAAATGAAAGGGGGCGTTATAAGGGTGGCAAGTTAATTCGTTGCTTAACAATTTAGTCATTTCCCCAAGAACTATATGCGGTATTAACCAACATTTGCCCCCCAAAATCAAACTTTGATGGAGTAATATTTAATTAAGTCCTTAAACAGGGGAGTATATGCTGACTTCAAAGCACTGAATAATTTCATAAGTAATGACGTCATATGTACAATGACGTTATGACGTAAATTTCAGTTTTTTTATGAATTTTGCAGAAAAATGTACATATTTCGTCGATATTTTAAATAAAAGTCACCGAGCGCATGTGTGTTCAGGATTAATATTTTGATATAATGTGTAGAATGATAATATCAATGAAATATGTCAATATTGTTCCTGAACACACATGCGCTCTATAAATTCTAAAGCTTAAATTGTTGAAATTTTGTCCATTTTGTCCTCTTTCTGAAAAAGGATATAAAATCGGACTAGTTTGTGACGTCATAAAAACAGAAATTGTGAATACACTGCTCTGGAACTATAATATTTTCTGTTAACTTATATTCCTCGTACAATTTATTAAATTCAGCACATTTCAGGAAGTTTTCAAAATTTGACTTTTGTGGGGGCAAACATATGCAATATACCGCATGTAGTTCTTTGTCCAACCATAAAAAAAATATAAAGAAAGGGTGATAAAATGTTTACAAATTAATTTCATGTCTGTCTGTAAGACTGTTTGTAAATAATAATATATCAGCAAGGGTATACGCTAATCATTTAATTTCTATAAAATACTTGATTCTGATTGGTTTAAAAATTCTTTTGATACCTGCATCAATAAAATGTAGAGTTCGCTTGCACTAAGCAGCTGGAACTACTTTGGCAGTCTTTACATGTATATTTCCCGCTTCCAGTTTACTTCTTGGAGGAATAA